ACTTGGCGGTTTCCTTGGCCGCCAACCCCCTGTGCGCCCGGTCCTCGACCTCCCATGGCCTGGCCCCTTTGGCCCTGGCCTCCTCCTCTACCTTGCGGCCTCCCTCCAGCCGCGACAGCAGCATAAGACCTCCCCTGTCCTACACTACTGTCCTCTTCCTCTAGGCCCCACTCAATCTGACTATATGGGACCTCATCAGTACCACCTTCCTCTAACGTYAGGATCATGTGATCCTTGGCCTTGACTTGGCCAGAGATGGTACGTCCTTTCCACCTTTTCCCTTTTTCCAGGTCCTTATGCCAGAAGGTGGAAACTGGCATGGACTTTGACTCGAACAGGACCACTTCCCTACTCAACGCATCATAGGTGATGCCGGCCTGTTCAGTCTTATCAAAGAAGTGCCCCCTCAGGGGCTCTGGCATGGCACGATAAAATAGTTGGACCGACTAGGTCTCAGTGACCCCATGGTCTGGGACGGCCACCAGGTCGTTCATGGTTCCCTTGAGTGCCCTTGCACTCCTCCACTGTCGTGAGTGGATTGTTTTTAGTTTGTTAGAGGCACGAATGCCTCTCGTTGGGTCTGCAAATTGCTCCTTCAAGAGCTTGAGGAATTGAGGAAGGGGGGCAACTTTAGAGTAAGCAACCAAGTTATTTTCACAACCGGCTGCGCGCACAAGAGACCTGACGAAACTAGCCGCTTCATCTTTGAGGGCCTGAAAGGCCACGAGGACTTGCTCATTTGTCAGGATATGCTGTAGATAAATATAACTGTTGACACTGACTTCCCAGTTGTCAAAGTTCTCCTCTTTCTTTCCCCCGTATGCGTCTGGAAACTTAAGTTTAACGGGGTCCTTGCGGGGTCTGGCCTCGCCCTCTACAGCGGCTATGGCTTTGGCACCCTCAATGGCGCCCTCACAGAACTTCCCTACGTTGTCCCTTAATTGCTTTACTTTGCCCCCAATGTGGGTGACGATCTCGCGCGCAAACTCCCTAAACCCTGACCGCATGGCACTCAAGGCTACATCCTGGCTCCAACTTGCCTGGCGCTCCTCCATCCAGGCCTTGCTCAACACCTCCAGGTAACCCAATATCTTGTCCCACTTGGCCTTGTCATCAGGCTGAGCCAATACTTCCTTTCTACATTCCTGCACCTGTGCCACGGCTGCGGTCATTTTATTCACTTCTTCTCGCCTCATCCTCTTCTCCCTCTTCATTCCCAACTTCCATTGTAGCTTCCCTCTCTCTTCGTTCCATAGGGTTCGCCATGGCTGCCAGCTCAGCGGTCAGTGCGGCCTTCTCATCCTCAGTCACATACGACTCCGCCTCGTCATCTTCTCCCAACGATAAATTAGCAACCCACTCGTTGATCTTCTTCTCAATCTCAGCGTCTGTGTCCCTCTTCGTGCCACTACTCCCTTCTCTGCTTTCAATCCTTATTCCTTCTTTTTCTTCTTTTGCTGCCGCTTCTTCTTCAGCAGCCTTCTTCTTTTTCTCCATCTCCTCCTCTATTTCCTTCATCTTCGTCGCCTATTCGTCTACAATCGCCTTCAACTTTGCTTGCTTCTCACGTTCTTTCCTCTCCCTGTTCTCTTTGACTAAGGCGGCCATCTTCTCTTGCTGCTCCTTGGTGTAGGGGCTAGTGTCTAACCCACTACGGGTCTCAACCATGGTGAAAGGTGCACAGAGGTTCCAACCCTCACCACGTAGACTAAAACCCTTACAACAAACCTCACTCAATCTAAGAACTCGCAGAATCCGGACAGGGATCCTGTCAACTATGGTCTCTAGCCTAGACCTACACTATGGCTGTCACTACTAGACCTGTTGCTGATCAGGAGGCCTTTTAAGGGGATCCCCCAAACTCCGCAAGAATTCTTTAACGTCACAGACAGGACGACGAGATCAGCAGGTCTTTACCTGTCGCACCGCCCACAGCTCAGCTTTTCAGGCCTACCGTGCCACACCGAGCAGCCCGCCGGTCAGTACCGGTCCTTGGGAGGGTTTGACCTCTGGGGCAGTCGAGTCGTCGACACAATCTTTAGCCTTACTTAGTCTGACAGGGGTTCGGGTCAACAAGGCCCTCAACACTTAGGCTGCCTGTTGTTTCAGCCCGCAACTCAGTCTTTCAGGCCCACTGTACCATACCAACCGTGTCTAGCCGGTCAGCACCGGTCCTTGGGAGGGTTATGCCCCCCTGGACAGTTGGATCTGCCACAGTCTCAGCCCTACTAGATCCGGTAGGGGAGTGGTCAACCAGGCCTATCCTTCATCCACAGAGTACTATCACCTAGGACAGAAGAGACTCGATGCAGAAAGAATAGACAGACTGACTTGACTCAGCAAGTACCAAGGGGTGTGTGCACATCCATAGGGCAAGGGATAGGCTGAGGGCTTGGCGAGATGTTACCAACTCCAGCTTGGTCAACGTCTTGGTCAACGTCTTGGTCAACGCCTTGGTCAACGCCTTGGTCAACGCCTTGGTCAACGCCTTGGTCAACGTCTTGGTCAACGTCTTGGTCAACGTCTTGGTCAACGCCTTGGTCAATGCTGCTATAGCCCCCGGTCAACTCCGATAGTCGCCGGTCAACACCTCCGGTCAACCCTCTTGGTCAACCCTCCGGTCAGCTATGGCTCCCAGCTCTTCTTCCTCGCCAACCCTCTTCTTCTTCTTCACCTTCCTCGCCTCCTTTCACCCCGCT